AGTTCAGTTGGAATAAAGTACCCGGAGGCTGAGGAGATGGCTCAGCAGTCAGAGCCCTTGCCTGCCGCATTGAGGACTGGAGTTCAGATCCCCAGAACCCATCTAAAGGCAAAAGGCTAGGGTGGGTGTGGTCACCGGCCTGTGATTTCCAGAGCAAGTTGACTAACGAGGAGCTTTATCGGTGAGCTCTGGGTTTGAATGACTGACCTTGTCTCAATGAGTAAGGTAGAAGAATGATCAAAGACGGTTACTGACATCAACCTCAGGTCTAACACCCCCCCCGACACCCCCCAAGTCTCTGTGTCTCTGAAATCAAAAGTCATATAAATGTCAAAATCTTAGAGTTAACCTATGCTACATTCTCATCCAGAAATGATTTACTCTTTGACATAATTTTCTTTTCATATATTTCTTTTGAAAAAGAGTCTCTACCTAGGCTAGCCTTGAACTCACTACGTAGCCAAGGATAACTTCAACTGCTGAGCCTCCTGCCTCCATTGCCTCCAAGGTGTCTGAGTTACAGGCAGCGCCACACAAAGCTTTCATGCAGCTCCGGGAATCGAATCCAGAACTCCATGCATGCTAGGCAAGCACTCTGTCAACTGAGCTACGTGTCAACCCTTGACATACTTTTCTAATACGCCCCCTTTCTCCTTTCTAGTCCCGTCAAGCGAAAAGGAGATTAAATCTGAAACACACACCTCGTGGCTACATCCCCAATGCTTACAATTCTATGAAATGATTTGTGTTCAGGACTCTGCCGTGTGGACCTACAATCTGACCTGAGAAGCTGGGCATGCGGGAAACGGCACAATGTCCTTTGAGGCAGAGCGGCCTGCAAAACCTTGAGTTGCACAAGATTCAAACAGCTTCTTCGCTGACTTGTTAAAAAAATAATCTGGTTTATTTTTTGAGTCCGATGTTTGCCAAGGGAGCACAAATCTTACGTAAGGAATATTCTATTGTATTTTACTACAGAGAGGCCAAAATCCAAGGGGGTGGACCCAGGCCTCTCTGGTGGGATGGCCAGCCCACACGGCATGTTTTCTCTCACCTCCCTTTTCACTACCCCCAAGTTGACACCCAAGACCTCAACTCACCTGAAAAGACGTTGGCATGGATTTCCCATTTTTCTTAGCAATATGCTCAATTATCTTCATGGCCTTTGCATTTTTGTTCTGGGAGATCAGCCATCTTGGAGATTCAGGTATGCACCTAGGGTGTTATAAGGGCAGGGGAGGGGTTCCTTGCTGCGTCCGCTCTGCCAGCTCACACAGTTAGGTTTTCTGGGAGCATTTTGCTCGGGGAGGTTCAGTTTGATCTGCTAGGCTCTCCTAAAGTGCCAAGCACGTGAAGCTCTGTCCTCTCTTGGGTGCTGACGCGCAGTCAGACACCGCCTGGAAGGAAGCCTTCAGGCCTCCTCCTCAGACTCCTGACCGGAATAGCTGCGCGTGAGCCGCTGAGCAGGGGGTGGCTGAGCATGCAGCTCCTGTCAGCATGAGGAGGGGTGGGTTTCTGGGCGCGCCCCAGCGTTTGTGGGGGCCTGAGTGAGAACTAAGGTCAAGGAATAGAGGTGGGAGTTACAAGTCACCATGGGAGGAAGCAAAAAGATTTGTGATACATACATGCATGTATTGTTATAGGTAATGTAGCACGTGCTGCTATACCACGTTGTATGATTTTTGTTTCTTTTTGATATTTCATGTTGAATGAAATGAGGTAAGCTTCTGAGGTCAGCTACGGGGTAGATTGCAGGAACCGGACTGAATGGCTTGAGCTTGACATAGCAGGTTCAGGCAGCCCGTGCAGATCCTAGGGTGCTGCTCTGAGCTAGGGCCCTATGTCCTGGCCTAACAGGCTCAAGCAGCGCTGGCAGGTCCCCAAGGGCCGGTGTCTTGAAGTGTCAGAGCAGGCAAGGTTAGGGGGAAGGGAGGTGGGGATGGAGGAGGATGGGCAGCCAGCCATGCTGGAGGCTAGAAGGGCTGGGCTCGCAGGGTTAAAGACTTAAGGACTGGACTCCTTGCTGGGAAAAGGAGGGCCTAGTGGATTTTTCTGAAGGAGGGCCATGCAGGGAGGTCTATGGTGACTCCTTGGTTAAGAGAGGTCAAGGCCAGGAATGTGGTCTGCTTGGCAGCGGCCAACCACTGGGATGCTGCAGAACTATTTTTCTAGCTGGTCATGAGAAGGTCTAGGGGCCGATATTGCCTGAGCTTGGGCGGGGGGACGGGGGATGGGGGGACAAAGAGGTGTGGACTTCGGAGAAGGGAGGAATCTGGACAGCCTACAGGTGGGATGATTGGGTGTTCTAGGCTTTCCTGGGAACACGCGGGGAGGAAACCCAAGCTTGGTGTGTGGGCTTTGGATTCATCCTGCAGCATGCTGGATGTCACGTAAGGGTTATCTGTGTTCATGTGACATGTGGACAGTCACTCACTGGGAATGCCTGGACAGGAAGCTACCACAGAGCCTGGTGTTACCTGACCTACAGAAATGCAGCCATGTTGGGGGGCCCCTCCAAGCACGGGACGTGACTGAGGGGGGTTTCAGGGGAGATGAAGACTGAGCAGAGCTCTGGCCGCAGCCACCATCCCTACATCTGCCCCAGAAGCCCCTCTCTCTCTACAGCAGCACCAGCTCGCTCCTTTTGTTTCAGCTTCTCTGTTTGCCCAAGACTGGTGGTTTTCTTCCTTCCTTCCTGTTTGCATTGCACTGTGTGTGTATGCATGTTTGCGTGTGGGGGGCACATGCGTATGTAAGTGCATGTTTCTGTGTGTGGAGGCCTGAGACTGTCTGCTACATTGCTCCACGTGGCAGAATGCCAGAGCATCTCCACTAAACGCAGAACTTGACGGCATGGCTAGTCCGGGTAGCCACCGTGCTCTGTAGACCCATGGCTCTGCCTTCTAAGCTCTGAAATTGCAGCTGGGCTGCCACACCTACCCAGCGTTTACATGGGGATCTAAACTCAGGTCTTTGCATTTATGTGGGAAACACTCACTCATCTCTCTGTCACTGGTATTTCTTGAGTTTTGGTTCTATCATCTCCTAACTCTTTTCAGTTGCTCTTACCAATCCTATTCGTTCCCTACGCATACAATCTACTTGAATGCTGGATCCTTACATTTCGCTGGTCCTGGATATTTGTACATCACCCCCCTTTGGCATCCCAAATTTGACATATCCAAAGCTCAACTCATAACCTAGAGAGAGCCCTTCTAATTTCCTTGTTCTTATGTATGTCTCTTTATCAACTTGCTGGACTGTATGTGTTTTCCTTGGGTAGTGATGATGACTATATTTTACGAGCCTGGTTAACTCTGGCTTTTCAGTATGGTCTATCTGGAGTGCTATGCTGGCCTTATTTGGAATAATTGCTGTTATGACTGACTGGAGATGTCTGTCTTGGTCACACCTATAGGAAAGTAGTGATATGACCATTTGGTGCTCTGCCTGTCCATTTCAGAGTTTTTGAAAAGGAGTCACAGGATAACAAAGGGCAATATTGTTGACTCCTTTCTGCCATCCAAATTGGATTCTAGCTGATGGGAGCAAAACATCCAATAAATACTATGGGATGAAAGAAACAGGTCACAACATTCTTATGCCCCAAGCTAAAGGATGTTGGATTTCCAGGTAGGCACTGTAGTTTTTGTTTTAGCAACATGGAACTGGCTTCCTGTGACATGGGCCTGGAGAGCGATGGAAGCCTTGTCATTTCCAAGCAGGGTGTTCATGGGGAAGGGAGACTTGGACAAAATAGACAATCTAGAGGCATCTTTTCTTTGATCCCAGCAGACTTACCAGAAATAGAGCAGGAAGAGGAAGTTGGGCAGGGTCACGGCCAGTTGCAGCCACCTCCAGTGGGGAAGAGCATAGGCCACGCCCGCCAGTATCAGCAGCCCAGTGGTAAAGGCGACTTGGTAAAAAATCCCCACTGTTCTACGATAGCCCAGACCAACAAATTCTGTAACTACAGAAAAGAATCCACATGGTCAGCAAGATGTGCTAAAGCTGGCTTCCAACCTTCAGGTAGCCACGAATGCCCAGCTCAAAAATACTGGCTCAATGTAGGATTTTTGGCACAGCTCTCTGAGCAATTTAAAATATTTCTTTGTGCAGGCATGAGTGCATGTGTGTGCATGTGCATGTGCGTGTGTGTGTGTGTGTGTGTGTGTGTGTGTGTGTGTGTGTGTGTGGTCTGTAGTAGTGATGGGCATTTTGTTACAGTTACTGCTTTTGCATTAGTTATAAACATGCATTAACTGAATCATGTTAGCAAAATGAGCAAACTGTTTGACTTGGAGAATTACATTAGGTATGAGGCTGGGTGTGATACCTCATGTCTGTAATACCAATACTTGGGAGGAAGAGGTAGGAGAATTCCTTTCAGTTCAAGGCAATTCTGGACCACATACATTTTTTGTAGCAAAAAAAAATGAAAATAAAAATAGCGACAATAAAGAATTTCAGGGGCTTGAGAGATGACCCAGAGGTTAAAAGCACTTGTTGCTTTTACAGAGGACTTGAGTTCAGTTCCCAGCATCCATATTAGGTAACTTACAAGCACCTCAAACTCTAACTCCAGTTTCAGGGGATCTAAAACCATCTTCTGGTTTCCATGGGTACGTGTTTATGTGTGGCATACACACATGAACACACATAAATAAAAATGAAACAAAAATATTGCTAAAAATTTTGAGGATGAGTGTAATAATATTTCACACAAACGCATGAGTTTCTTCTATATCAACCAGGCAGTGATAACTCAAGGCATGAACAAATGAATTAAAAACTGAGTTTATGCCATAGATGCTTCATATATAAATGAACATTTACATGCAAGTTGTTCTCTTCCGGAGATAAAATACTTTGCAATCCTGTTTATTTATGTAAAGGACTTAGAAACTCTACAATGGGCTGGAATCAGCTAGTACTGGCTTGCAAAATAAATAAATAAATAAATAAATAAATAAATAAATAATTTAAAAATTTCAAACACTTTGCAAATGAGTTGTTAAATACGCATCTATTTTGAAACCTTCATGGTGGGAGTAGCAAAGGCCTAGAAAGTAGAAAACATACAAAAAGGACTTGTTATGTCCTTTGAGAAGCAGGTTCCCAGCCACCATTGCATATGGAGGAATAATCAGCTTTATTTATGTCTCCATGTCCGCATCATGACGGACATAGGGGGTCTGCACTCGGGGAGCTAGGAGTTGTCATCACATGCAGGCATACTAGATTTGGAATTCCACATGTAAATCAGTCTCCACTTTAAATGTCTTACAGGTGCATGAAGTATTCTAATTATATCCAATCCAACAGGCATGCATGTCAAACCTGTTTCTATAGGTTACTGCAAACCATCTAAAAATATTTTGAAATGGTTGTTTTAACTAAGTAAAATGGTGCAAGTCTTCCACACATACAAGTGTCTATCTTTCCAAGTGGCCGGGGCCCTGGATGGGGCTTGGGAGATATGGGGGTAGGGGTGGGGTCAGAAGGCAGGCATCAAAGACTCAAGGCCATTCACAGGGACTTTGAAAGAAATGAGTGATAAGAGGCTGCAATTAATGACAAAATATACACTTGCATAATTGAAGTCTACTCAGTGCGATCTAGAAACCAAATTGGTTGAATAGCTGCATGCATTAAGTCCCTCATCAACCAACCATTTGTTATTTGTCACTTCTGGAGGTGATAGTATTCTCTTTCTTCCCTGAAATGCCCAAGATTTGTGTCACCAGGGAAAAAAGATGTAAGTACATGTTCTCTTTACCTCTTGGGCAGTGAAAGCTTCCATCTTATCCCTTAATTCCAAAGTGGTTGGTTCCCAAACATAAGGACATGATTGAGGAGATTTCCAGATTTAAGTGGGTGATGATTTTTCATAACTGCTAGGTTGACACTGCTATGGAGTTCAGGCACGCTTTTGTGCCTCAAGTAACTCTGGCTACTAGTGAGTAAATTCTAGCCCTGATTTCACAGCTCACTTTCTACTTTTCTTTTGGTCCAGGGCTCTGAGCATAGAATAGTGCTGCCCACAGTGATGGTGGGTCTTCCCTCCTGGGTTAGAATACTCTAGAAAATTTCTCACAGCCAAGTTCTGTCTCCTGGGTGATTCTAGCTCTTGCTGGGTAGATAGCGTGTGCCCTCCACTTCCTTGTAAGTTCAAGTGGCTTCCTAGAATACACGAAGTACAGCAGTAAGTTCCCTTACATTCCAAGTACATCTCCTATCACGGAGTCTTCTGCCTGAATAGGCTTGGTAGGCTAGACTTTCTCTTCATATAACACCCCAGGGGCCAGAAACCGAATTTTCCAAGAAAGCTAGACAGGATTCTGGGTGATTCTGCCTTCCTTGCTTTGTGTTCATAGGAGAGACACAGATTGGATTGATTGGGTGGTTTAAAATAGACTCTCTAGCTATGGAATAAAAGGTCAGCGCTGTCTTTCCATCTGCCTGAAGGACCCCGTGTGCACCCAGGAGCACCTCAAGCTCTCTTACTCAGGATGTAGCCGATTAACCAGCCTGCTTTGCTGACCAGTCCCTGGAGCAAACGAAACACCAGCATCCAGGCGTAGTTGGGGGAAACCGCCATGAGAACCCCAGAGGTAGCGTTGATGAGGATGGTGATCAGGAGACAGAACTTCCGGCCAAACCTATGGGGAAGAACCGGGAAAGGGCGCTGGGTTAGGTGGTGTATTAACTACTCCTCCCGGCGCTGTGACAAATACCTGGTAAAAGCAGCTTGCAGATGGAAGAAAGGGTTTATTTCAGCTTACAGCCCTAGGGTATAGCACTCCCTAGAGGAGCAGTTGGGGCAGCTGGCCACGTTGCCTCTGCAATCAGGAAGCAGAGAGTGGTGGTGCTTGGCTCACATCGTCTTTCTAGTGAGTCCAGGACCCCAGCTCACAGGGTGGCGATGCCCACGGCTTCTCTACCTCAGTCCACCAAGTCTATATAACCCCTCCCAGGCACACCCAGACTTGTATCTTCCAGCTGATCCCAACAAGTCGACAATACTATCCATCGCACTCGGGTTCATGGAAGGTGGAGAAGACTCATGGGTGCTATAAAAACATGGTCAAAATCTGAGGTCAGTTTAGTGGAGCTACGGATTCATTCCTGCCCCCACCCCACCCCCACCCCAGTGCACAACATAAAGACCCCTGACTTCAGTTCTGTTAGCAGACTTTGTGGGGCCTCGGGGGCAAAGTTGAAGCTCATTGAGCTCCCTTCACAGAGGCACCAGGGCTGTTCTCCTGGGAGAGGTTTGTCCCTTTGAGACAGGGCTGGTTGTCCTGTAAGTCCAGTCAGCTCATAATCTGTGCTTGAACTAAACTTCCAGCCAACTGCTCATCTGAGGAAGTCTCCATGTTGGTTTCCTACAGTTATCATTTCACAGCTTCCTACATCCAGGTGGGGTGACTTTCCATATTTTTATTTGATGAGCTCAGGCTTCATCAGTCTGGGGACCGGGAGAGTTATCCAAGAACACAGAAAAGAGGAAAAAGCCGCTCCCATGTTGGGTGAGTTATCTAACATTGCCACATTTTGTCACATTGGGAAAAAATACAAAACTATATCTAGAAAGGGGATTCCAGGAGGTATTGATGCTATGGTTTGTCCCCTAAGGACTCCTGTATCCAAGGTCCTGGTCCTCGGTGCGGCAATGTTGGAAACCAATGAATTCTGAAGAGCCTGATAGAAGGTGCTTAGGTCACTGGGGACATTGCCTTTCTCTCTCTCTCTCTCTCTCTCTCTCTCTCTCTCTCTCTCTCTCTCTCTCTCTCTGTGTGTGTGTGTGTGTGTGTGTGTGTACCTGTGGAAGCCAGAGGCCAACCTCAGGCATGTCCCTCAGATGCCATTCGCCTTACTGTGTGAGACAGGGCCTCTCCATAGCCTGGAGCTCACTATGTAGACTAGGCTGGCTGGCTGGCGACTGAACCCTCGCTCTTCTGCCTCCCCAGTGTTGGAATCCAAGTATACACAATCATGCTTGGTTTAACACTTTTTGATTTACTTATTTTACGTGTATGAGTATTTTACCCGCCTGCCTGCTTGTTTACCATATGCATGCTTAAAAGCCCACAGAGGTCAGAAGAGGGGCATCAGATCCCTCAGACCTGGAGTTACAGATAGTTGTGAGCCACCATGGGGATACTGGGAATTGAACCTGGGTCCTCTGCAGGAGCAAAAAAGCGCTCTTAACTGCTGATTTTACCTGTCCAGTTCTCCCCATCGCTGCATTTTAAACATGTGTTCTGGGGATAGAACTCAGACCCTCGCGCTTGTAGGGCAGGCGGTTTTCCCGGCTGAGCCATCTCTCCAGCCTCTGAAATAGACCTTAAAAGAGCGAGTTGTCGTAAGTGAGCCCGCCTGACTCCCGAACCGCTGTCTGGGTCTACTTCATGACGGGACCTCTTTCTCCCACACACATCCCTTAACCACACTGATACCTGTCACCAGATGATGCCAGCAACACCCCCCCCCCCCGGGATGCTCAGAACGATCAGCTGACTAACACCAACTCCTTTACAAAGTCTCCCAGCCTCAAGGGTTACATCACAGTAGTAGAAAATAGTTGGCTCTCAGAGCATGGATGCGGGGGCTCAGCTACCTCCCACCACGCCCTCCTGGCTGTGTTCTAAAAGATCATCTCTGTTAGCGGGTATAGTTCGTTAGTTCATAGAAGACGGTGCTATATCTAATACTCGCGTTATGTTTGTTTAACTGAAGTCTGTTTATCATCACGGTTTGCACAATCCCATGGTAACTCAATACTCCGTAGCTGTGTCTCCTATTAATTGGGCAGCTGTGTCCCAGGGAGTATTTCAGGTGTTACCTAACCGTTTGGAAATGACCCACAATGCTATTAATAAGTACTCAGGGATGGCGATGTTTTCAGTGCGAGACCTGAAGTCCAAGCTGTCTGTTCAGTCATTAGTGTAAATTGCTGAACCGAAAACGGTTTCAACTGTTACCGCCTGGTTCTTCATCAGAGGCTCGCCGCTGTGATATGCAACCCCAGGGCTTGCCGAAGCGACACCCCACCGGTCCTTCAGTGTTTCTTCCCAGTCAGGCTTCTCCAGCCTTCTGATGCAGTGACATGGCATTGTGTCATCCACAAAGTTTATGCTCAAGAACAAAGCAATCAACATGTTGAAAGAAAAATCTTGCCATAGGGCTTGGGAGGCAGCCTATTAGGTGAGGTTCTCACTGAGAAGCATAAGCGCCTGAATTTGGATGTCCAGCATCTACACACAAAGCCGGTGTGGTGGCGTTTGCTGTGGGTGGTGTGAAAAGGCAGTGATCGCCAGGGCCCAGACAGCCTGGTTGAAACAGAGAGCTCTGGGTTCAGTGAGGGATTCTTCCCCCACCCCATTTCAAAAAAAAAAAAAAAAAAAAAAAAAAAATAAGGCAGAGAGCAATAAAGGAAAATGTACTGTGTTAATCTCTCTGACACACACACACACACACACACACACACACACTCACATCTCGATGTTTTAAGTAAATTCTGTGTATTAAGTATATCTTGTGCTGGACTGCCTCTATAGCTACCCTTGGCTACAGGTGGAGTATGGGCTGGACACACCTACAACCCTTTCCCCAGAGCTTATAAGCTGTAAAGATTTACTCAAGTGGCAATTCCTCAGCAACTAGTGGATTTGGGCTCATAGCAAAGCCACAGCCATGTTGCTGAAGAAGGACAAACTCCTTTGGCTGGAAGAGGGAAATGCGTTACTGAAGACTCCAAGTAGGGAAACCAAATCCATATCCCAGAGACACTGCAACCTTTCCAATGAAAGAGGCAGCGTCTTTTATTTTTTAGATATTTTGGAGATCTGGGTCAATGGCTTGAGATACCCTTCCGCTGACACACACACCATAGTCACTTAAATTATTTAATGAGAACCAGACTGAACCAGAGTGGCTGGGCACCCGTTTGGAGTGTCCTTTAGCTGTCTGCTGTCTAGGATGGAGTTCCGGATCTTCTTCACTGGGGAGGGGTAAATGGCATTATTTGGGAGCCTGGTAAACAGGCAGGCAGGTGGATTGTAGCTTGGCTTATAACAGAATCTGGGCTGACTAATATGGTCATTAATACCTGGGAAGACGTGCTCTGAGTCGATCCTGCCTCAGTTTCCGTCTCTGTAAACAATAGGTAGTGAGTATAAGGCTGTCACAGTCCTAAGTGAGATCCAATGAGCGTGCCTAGTAAAACACTGGTCTGCGTGGCTGCTGGAGAGCTTGTCCCTGATGATCCTAAACATCAGGTGACACTCGGCCACAGCCGCTATTGAAAGTCAAGCGACACACACAATTTAAATGTTACATTAAAACAAGACAGAGTGAAGAAACAAACTAGACATTTTAGGAAACAACTAATTTCACAATCTGTGTCACAAACTGACCCGAGAAAAGTTGAGTTCCTGCAAGACAGTTTATTTCCCTCCCTCATGCCTTCTCTCTCTCTCTCTCTCTCTCTCTCTCTCTCTCTCTCTCTCTCTCTCTCTCTCTCTCTCTCTGTGTGTGTGTGTGTGTGTGTGTTCTTATCTGGATAATTTCCAAATACCCTCCTGGCTTTCTTCTAAACACTATAGCCAAATCATCTATTAGGCCATACTTAAATTTTGGCTTGTGAACAACAATATACTGTTTTAATGTTGGTTACAGTTTCTGGATAAAGTGGGTTTCCGTGATATTCCTAGCTTATTGTAAGACTTCTAAAGGTTGTAGTGGGCATGAAGTATGCAGAGGGGAAATGGCACATCTTCTGTCCCTGGTCCTGCTTTGCCCTCCTGCTTGCAAGCAGGACAGGGAAAAGAGCAATAGTAAGCAAAACGTTGGGCAGCTTTGGGAAAAGAACTAGAGGCACGTCCATCCCTCAGAGGAGCCAAAGGGACAAAGGGCTTTCTAGAAATTGCCTGCAAAGGCACGGAAGGATGAGCTCACTTGAGGAGGAGAGGAGCTGGCGGATTGTTCTCTGGAATGTGTTGTGAGGAGGGGTTGGGGCTGGCCTCCTTGAGTGGGATGAGAATAATTAACTGGCTTCTGCAGCCTACTGGGCGAGGCTGTCACCTGTGTGTGTGACACTTCCTGGAGATCTGGTGTTAATGTCCACCTTGGTATACCAGGGAGGGGATGAACCAGGAGCTGCCCAGCTAGTGACCAGCGAGTGTGAGTGGACCCTGGACCTCCTCACTGATTTGTGTCTTGACTTCATGGGCAGCCTGTGAATAGCTACCCTCAGTTCTGTGTAATCACAATAAAAATGAAACTACCCCCCAACACACACACACACACACACACACACTCAGACACACACGCACACGTGTGCACACACACATGCACACACATGTGTGCGCGCACACGCACAGGAACACATACACACACACTCAGACACGCACACACACGTGCACACACATGTGTGCACACGCACAGGCACGCACACACACACACATACACACACACACACACACCTCACAACCTCCCACAGCCACTCCCTGGGAGACCCTCGCTGGGGAGGCTGAGCAGACAGTTACAGATGCATTGTGACTTTTGGCACAGTACCTCCGCCTCCATCCATCCATCCTCCCTCCCTCCTGCTGCCAATGGGGCCTCAGGCTCTCGTAAAGTCAGTACATTCTTACGAACCTTTAACTCTCATGCAATTTTGATGCCAGCTTGGAGTATAATCAAAGCAAGCTGTCATGCATTGAGTTATATTCACAGCAGAGAGATAGTTGGGGAGGCCTAAAACAGCAGTGAGTGACAGGACTGAGTTGCCACATATTTCTGCGTCAAATATATATTTTTACAGGCTGATTGTTTAATACGGCCATTATTAAAAGTTATGTACACTGGTAATTAAAGACAAGTGGAATAAACGTGAAAATCGGATCCTTTCCTACTTGTGTTACTACATCAGATTATCCGGGGCTATTTGTACCCAATGCATTTATGTGACATGGAAATACAGGAGTCTACAATGGTGGGCAACCAGAGCCAAGGCACAGCTTGGGCACTACAGACACTCACTGTGGACAGGCAGGCAGGCAGGCAGGCAGGCAGGCAGGCAGGCAGGCAGGCAGGCAGGCAGGCAGGCAGGCATAGAGCCTAGTGATGGGGCTTCTGGCGTATGAGAATTAGCTGCCCTGGATGGAGCTCACAGCTCCTGAAGGCTTATGACCATGTGGGAGATACTGAGGCCAAACAACCAACTGAGAATCACCATGGGATTCAATCATTTGTTGCCTCTTCCAGCCCTGAACTGGCAGCTAGCCCGCAAGAAAAAAGTCCTTCCTGGTGGTTGAAACCTCCTTCCCTGACCTCCACAAGATCTGAGAGTAAAACATGAGTCACTGTTATCAAAGCAGCTGAAAAAACCCCAGCATTATAAAAGCAACCCCCATTGGGGCGGGTGGAAGTGAGTGGTCTGTCTATGTGTTCGGGGCAAAGAAGGATTCGTGCAGGGTGGGTGAGCAGCGCTGTCTGAACCTGTAGGTTATTTACTGCAGGTGTCTTACCTACCTGTCTGCTAGGTAGCCAATCCCGACAGCACCGATAAAAAACCCCACGTTCACTACTGACTGAAACAGGTCCAGCATCCAGGAGCGAGCACACACTAGGTTAAACTGTCCAGATGTGGGGTGTGGCCGGAGTCCAGGGAGGAGTAGGAAGGAGAGAGGGAGAAGATGCTGTTAGAATCTTGTTAGACACAGTCCAGCTCAGAGTGTTCTTTGAATATTCCCAACTAGGAGTTCGTGAGTTCCAGGGGATCAGTAATTAGTGCACGGCAGTTACTTGACTATTTCTTGAACTGAGTGCCACTAATACAGCTGTTTCCTAATCCATGCTAATTTTCTATATACCAGCAACAGATTTTCCCCTGGAATCTGTTTAGCATCCCATCGGACACTGTGAGCCTGCCATTTGACCAAAGCATGAACTCTAATCAATTGAAAGCACGTAGTGACTTGACTTATAGACAAGTCCATCTTCTCCCTTCTAGTCTAAAGACACAGACGCGGGTGGATGTAGTCACGTGACATGCCTGCACAGCCAGAGACATTGAGCTTTAAGCATCTCTTAGCTGCTCTCTATTTTTAAACAACAGGGGGATTCAAGGGGTACTCCCAATGATGGATGCCTTTGGACTGATTTGCTCCAAAGGAAGGTGGAGGATACAGTGCTGGCCCGGTAGACAAGATATGACCTTCTAACCTCACTCTGCCATCTCATTCTGTAGCCTGGTGCACAACCGAGGTCCCCTGCTCTGGCCTCAGATGAGGGGAGTCACTCTGAGCTGTCTTACAGTGGCATGGTGTCTGTTTGAGGAGCCTTGATGTGACACGAAGCCCATTTCAGATCCCCCAGGTGAGGCTCCTCGGCTAAAGGCCAGGAGACCTTCTCAGGACCCAGGTGGTCCTTTCCAACTAGCTGCTGAACTGTTTCCTCCATGTTTGCAGGACAATTCCACAGTAGGTTTGCATGCTTGCTTTTCTCTTCAGGGAATGAGACTTCACGGTTAGATCATATGTATGTGTGTATATGCATGCATGTGAGTGTTCATGTGTGCACACATGCTTGTGCGGCCAGCTGCCATTTCCCAGGCACCATCCTCCTCATTATTTATTTGTTTTTTTTTTTTTTTATTGATATGGAGCCCTTATTGTCCTGAATCTGGCCATCTAGGTTGGCTGGCTAGCAAGCCTCAGGAATCCACCCGCCTTTGCCTTCCGAGTTCTGGGACTACTATCATGTGTGCACACCTGGCTTTTTCCCCCTATGGGTTCTGGACATTAAACTCAGGTACTCAAGCTTAAGAGGAGGCAGTTTACCTACTGAACCCCCCCCTTCCTCCCACAACCCATGACTGTATCTTTTAAATCACTTTCATTATCATTGTATGCCTGTGCATGATGTATGTGAGTAGGTGTGCACACATCGCTGCATGTATGTGGAGGTTACAGGACAACTCTGTGGAACTGGCTCTCTCCTACTTTCGCAGGTGGTCGGGATTGACCTCGAGTCGTCAGGGCTTGCGTGGCAAGTGCTTCCCCCTCTCAGCCAGCTTGCTTGCCTGTACTTTTTAATAAAAACAGCCCCCAAATTTCTTGTGGGCATCTTGGCCACATTAAAGAGGAACGCATGTCTCTGGAGACAAAAACACATCTTATAACATCCGTTAGCAGAGCATATGTTAGGGGAGGGCCATGCCCTTTTTGGTGGCACTTGTGTGGTGTAATAGAAGGCTTCTGGAGAATGTGAATCTTAGAATCATGCCCACATCTGTCATCATTTTCAGGCCTCCCGGTGTGTGTTAGCTTGTTGCTTACTGCTGAGGCCTGCACATACCAGATCACGCCTGCCAGCATCCAGGGTGTTCTCACTAACTACCTCAGACGAGGGAAAGGCTGCATGTTTTTAACCAGGAAACTAGGATTTTTATAAGGCATATGAGTTCAGAAAGCGTGTCTGGGCAAGTATAAGAATCATGGGTTTCCTAGTTCTCCCTTAACGAGGTGAATTATTTGCTTTTTTTCCATCCTGACTCCTGAGCTCACTTACCTCGGTGACGATGGAGGAGCCAGGGGTGTCGTACACCCAGCCCTGCTGGCAAGGGCTCAGTGCAAAGTGGCTCCTGTTGGCAGCCAGGCTGGACAGGGGGTCCACACAGTCAATGGAGCTCTGGTTCCAGTCCACCTCGTACTGCATGCACTGGCTGAGGAAGGAGGCCTCATGTGTAGACCCCAGGCCCGGCACGGTGTAGTTCAGTTCCTCTTCCAGGCTCCAGCCACAGCGCTGGCTCAGCTCGGCCACCCCAGGACTCCGGCAGCGGTGGTTAGGGATAAAGCCCAGGAAGACGATGCCCACGTAAATGGGAGTGAAGGTGCCTGAGAGCAGAGCTAAGAGGCAAAATGTCTGTTTCTGGAACAGGTGGAATTCCCCTATATGTTCTAGAATATCATCCACTGCCGTCATGGTTCCTGGAGGCAGCTGGTCCTGAGGTTTCGCCTGCAGGACTCCAAATGCTGCTGAAGGCGGCCACAGTCAGCTCAGGACGACTCTTGACCAGGAGTCAAAGGGTGATCCTTAGTTTATTTAAAGAGGGGCCAGCCTTCAGGTCAGACTTTCCTTGGGTAGGCCAACTTCCAACCGCACCTCTCCAATGGGGGAAGGTCTTGCTGGCCGGAAATGCCCAGAGTAGGCCCTGGAGTGTGGTGTGTTTATTGTAACCTCATTCTCTGGGAGTCTGTCCTGCACTACAAACAATCCCTTCTCTGTATCCCACGGGGAGAAATCCGAGTTCCTTAGCATATCACAGCTGGTTAATCTTTCTCCAGCACATTCAGTGGCCCGAAGATTAATACATCCTCGTGCCACCCACACAGCCAGCTTCTCTTACAAGGTGTGACAGAGATGGCATATGCATTTGGCCGTGCATGCCCAATGCAATGTGCGCCAGAGTCTGGGGTCAACTCTGAGCGATTTGCATGTCCCTGATACCTCTGAGAGCAATGCACTTGAGTATTGTGCTGCGGCGGCTTGCTTTGATTTCCCTCAGACTAAATCATTCTGCCTTTTCAAAGGGTTCGCTCCAGTTTGGCATTCCTGCCTCTCCGCCCTGATGTGTCTGTCCTTCCTCTTCATCCACTCGTGAGGGAAGAATAACACATTTGTCTCACATGTAGGTCAGATGCTAACGCAAGGCATGGGTGTATTTTCCACTGGTACTTTGTTGTTGTTCTAGGCTATCCTGCGGTGTTAGGGTTGGGGATGTTCCTTTAGGATGCTGGCGAGGATATCCAAATGCAGTGGAGATAGGGAGCCTGTCTTTCCTACTGGGCAGAAGGGTCCTAGGGCACTGTGATGCTGCCAAGCCAAGCAGAGAAGGGTTGCTTGCTGAGAAACGCGCATGGTAAAACAGGACTGTAACCCCTGCCTGCCTGCCTGCCTGTCTGTCTGCCTGTCTGCCTGCCTGCCTGTCTGTCTGCCTGCCTGACTGTCTGCCTGTCTGTCTGCCTGTCTGTCTGTCTGTCTGCCTGCCTGCCTGCCTGACTGTCTGCCTGTCTGTCTGTCTGCCTGCCTGCCTGCCTGCCTGTCTGTCTGTCTGCCTGCCTGCCTGTCTGTCTGCTTGTCTGTCTGCCTGCCTGCCTGCCTGTCTGTCTGCCTGCCTGCCTGTCTGTCTGTCTGCTTGCCTGCCTGTCTGTCTGCCTGCCTGTCTGCCTGCCTGCCTGTCTGTCTGTCTGTCTACCTGCCTGCCTGTCTATCTGTCTGCCTGCCTGTCTGCCTACCTGCCTGTCTGTCCGTCTGTCTGCCTGCCTGTCTGTCTGCCTGTCTGCCTGCCTGCCTGTCTGTCTGTCTGCTTGCCTGCCTGTCTGTCTGCCTGCCTGCCTGCCTGTCTGTCTGCCTGCCTGCCTGTCTGTCTGTCTGTCTGCCTGCCTGCTTGCCTGTCTGTCTGTCTGCCTGTCTGCCTGCCTGCCTGCCTGTCTGTCTGTCTGTCTGTCTGCCTGCCTGCCTGTCTGTCTGTCTGTCTGTCTGTCTGACTGACTGACTGTCTGTCTGCCTGTCTGTCTGTCCATCCGTCTGCCTGCCTGCCTGCCTGCCTGCCTGTCTGTCTGCCTGCCTGCCTGTCTGCCTACCTGCCTGTCTGCCTGCCTGCCTGCCTGTCTGTCTGCCTGCCTGCCTGCCTGCCTGCCTGCCTGACTGTCTGTCTGCCTGCCTGCCTGACTGTCTGTCTGCCTGCCTGCCTGTCTGTCTGTCTGTCTGTCTGTCTGTCTGACTGCCTGCCTGCCTGCCTGCCTGCCTGTCTGTCTGTCTGACTGTCTGACTGTCTGCCTGCCTGCCTGTCTGCCTGCCTGCCTGACTGTCTGCCTGCCTGCCTGTCTGCCTGCCTGCCTGACTGTCTGCCTGCCTGCCTGTCTGTCTGTCTGTCTACCTGCCTGCCTGTCTATCTGTCTGCCTGCCTGTCTGCCTACCTGCCTGTCTGTCCGTCTGTCTGCCTGCCTGTCTGTCTGCCTGCCTGCCTGCCTGCCTGTCTGTCTGTCTGCCTGCCTGCCTGCCTGCCTGCCTGTCTGTCTGTCTGCCTGCCTGCTTGCCTGTCTGTCTGTCTGCCTGTCTGCCTGCCTGCCTGCCTGCCTGACTGTCTGTCTGCCTGCCTGCCTGCCTGTCTGTCTGTCTGTCTGTCTGTCTGTCTGTCTGACTGACTGTCTGTCTGCCTGTCTGTCTGTCCATCCGTCTGCCTGCCTGCCTGCCTGTCTGTCTGTCTGCCTGCCTGCCTGCCTGCCTGACTGTCTGTCTGCCTGCCTGCCTGACTGTCTGTCTGCCTGCTTGCCTGCCTGCCTGTCTGTCTGTCTGTCTGTCTGTCTGTCTGTCTGTCTGACTGCCTGCCTGCCTGCCTGCCTGTCTGTCTGTCTGACTGTCTGACTGTCTGCCTGCCTGCCTGCCTGTCTGCCTGCCTGCCTGACTGTCTGCCTGCCTGCCTGCCTGCCTGCCTGCCTGACTGTCTGCCTGCCTGCCTGTCTGTCTGTCTGTCTGCCTGCCTGTCTCCCCCTTTCTCTTGTGCATGCTCCCCTTACCCTCTTTCTCTCCTTTTGCTCTCCTACCTCCTTCCTCCTCCTCTTCCTCCCACTCCTCCTCTTCTGTTAAATAACCAGTGGGTGTGACAGCTCAGTCCAAAGGCAGTGAGCCACAGTACTCCTCCTCTCTGGAGCCGCTGGCTGGACACTGGTGAGGATGCCCGTCACTGCCTCCAGTGTCCTTGTCTGGCTCCCAGATGCGCTCCAACTGCCTGGGCCCCTGCAGCCCCTTGGCCATCTGCTGAGTGAGTGGGTTCAGAGCCATTTAGGGATTTCCTCAGTGGTGTCCAGATACCGTAAGTGAGTACGTCAGAAGCTGAGGCCATGTCTATTATTCACTGGGCAGCCTGCGGGAGTGGGCTAGTTAAAAAAGCAACTATGATCGTCAAGCCTCCCTCTACATCCAGGGACCAGACGTGGTCCTGGCTGCCTCCTACTAGGAAATTCACAAGCACTCACACCTGTGATTGACTCATGGGTACAGCAGGTATCAGGACGCCAGATCTTTATGCCCATGAGCAAGAGGCCTCCAGGTGAGTGTCAAGGCCAGCACCCTGTGCCAAGGAGCGATGTTGAAATCCCTCCTGAACTAGGAGGGATGATCAGATAAGGCAAAGGCAAGTGCTCAGATCACTTACAGCATTAGCTCCACAGTGGTTCGACACGTTTCCACTGAGAGTTAACACAGAAATAAAGCCCAGAGCTGAGCCGCTGCAAAATCAATGCTATTGGGTGACAGACTAGAGGGCGGTCCAGTCGCGTAGGTAAGCCACATTATTCTCCCAATGCAGGCTGAGAAGAACATTTTTCCTAGGTAGAAATTCCACTAGGTGAATACCTCAGAATCTGGCTTTTCCAAAGCAGGCATTGCTGTTTCTCTGCGGCCATGGGATGACTGTGGGGAAGCCATGGTGTCTGTGGGGCATCTGTCGGGCATCCATGGGGTGCTGTGGGTCCTCTGTGGAGTGATTACAGCAGAGTGTCTGCAAGGCAGCTATAGGCCGGAATCTGCCCGTCTCCACCTTCTCAGCGTTGGGATTACAAGTGTGCACCATCCCTTCTGACTTTTTGTGTGGGTTCTGAAGTATGAACTCGGGTCTTCGTGTTGCTCACACAAGAATCTCTTTACTTGGCCATCTCCCAACTTCCCGACACACTTTTTTTTTTACAAAGTGGGCCCTCACTGAGGTTCTAGCAACCTTGATTGCAAAAAAAAAATTAATAATTTGGATGGGGGAAAACTTTCCTACCAGTCCATATTGTATTCAAAATTGAAAAACTCCATTTCTCTGGTCCATCGATGAAGATGATTTTGGAAAAAAAAAAAAAAAAAAAAAAAAAAAAAAAAAAAACCTCCCTCTTTGTACTTAATTCATGTCACTGAATATGTTTTGCTATAAACAAAGCTAGTCCTTATCTTCATTTCTTTTTCGATTGCTGTGATGAAATATGCTGACAAAAGCAAGTTAAAGAAGAAAGGGTTTATTTTGGTTAGGGTTAGAGTCATCATGGCAGGAAAGGCATGGAGGTGGGAATAGGAAGCTGGCTGGCTATATAACACCCAAATTCAGAAAAGACTCTTGTAGACAACAACAACCAGTGGACTAGAAATACCCTTGATATGTGACCCCTGCTCACTGAGGTATCTGATGGGGGATGTCCTCCTGTATGATGTGAATATATGTTTCTCTTATTGGCTGATAAATAAAGCTGTTTTGGCCAGTGGACAGGCAGAATGTAGCCAGGTGAGAAATCCTAACAGGGATAGAGAAAGGTAGTAGGCAGAGTCAAGGCGATGCCATGTAGCTGTTGAGGAAGTTTGAGGCCAGAACATCACCGGTAAGCCAAGAGCAAATGGAGATACAAAGATTAATAGAAATGGGTTAATAATTAAGAGAGAACTAGCCAATAAGAAGCCTGAGCCATCGGCCAAACAGTTTATAATTATTTGGGACTGTGTTTATTTGAGGCTGAAGGGCTGTGGGACTGGGTGGGACAGAAACTTCCATCTACAGGTACCAGTACCCATGGTATGTGACCCCTACTCACTGAGGTACCAGGACCCATGGTATGTGACCTCTACTCACTGAGGTACAGTATCCATGGTATGTGACCCCTACTCACTGAGGTACCAGGACCCATGGTACTCGCTGAGGTACCAGTTCCCCTTGATGAACATCTGACTTGGCTAGAACGTGACGGAAACATTTTGTGCTTCATGAAAGTTAGGGCATTTACTTTGAGTAAAGAAGCTGTGTTTCCTTTGTCCAGATGTTTTTATGGAGATGGAGATCACGTCTGCCTGCAGGAACATTTACCCTACTTGGTGCTGGAAACTCAGGCCCGATGACAAACTCCTAAGGGAACTCATAGTTCATAAGGTAAGGGCAGATGAAATCCAGGTGAGAG